CCAGTGTAGACGCTCTTTTCCGGCTTTTTTAAAAGCCGGAAAAAAGCGGCGGACATTTTTATTTAAATGCCGCGGGGGATATTTAAATCCCCCGCGGATTTCCCTACGACGACTCGTGAAATTTACATGCCCCTTCCGGAAAAGGGGCCAGTGTAGACGTAGCCCCTGAGAGCAGCAGACTTTTGGGGCAGAATGGGGTGGGGGATGTGACAAAGTTGGGATTAAAATCATGGAATCAGAGGCTGGAAGAGACCTTAGAAGGTCACTGAGTCCCACCCTGTGCCCAAAGCAGGACTAACCCCAGCTAAATCATCGTCAGAAGTCTTGGTTTCTTTGTAGCCATTCTGATGGAAAAATGGGTCCTTTCCCAAAGAAATATCTGTAAATAAATCAGGCAGGCAGACAATCTGATGTTTATGTATATGTATGTTTATATATGAAAATATAGTGTAAATATGTAAGGCTACGTCTACAACTGGCGCGTTTTCACGGAAAACTCTTTTGCGGAAGAGTTCTTCTGCAAAAACTCTTCCAGAAGAGAGCATCTACACTGGCATATGCTTTTGCACAAGAGATGTGCTTTTGCACAAGAGCATCCTTGCCAGAGTAGACACTCTCTTGCGCAAGAAAGCTCTGATGGACATTTTAACCATAGGGCTTTATTGAGCAAGAAATTCATGTTGCCTGTCTATACTGGCCTCTTCTGGAAGAGCTCTTGCGCAAGAGGGCTTCTTCCTGAGCAGGAGCATCAGAGTTCTCATGCAAGAAGTCCTGATTTTATACTCTAGAACGTCAGTTTACTTGCACAAGAACATGCGGCCAGTGTAGACAGGCAGCAAGTTTTTGCACAAGAGCGGCCGCTTTTGTGCAAGAACGCGCCAGTGTAGACACAACCTCTGGGTTTTAGAATGCAACCAATGATCAAGATTTGTAAAATTCTGTTCTGAAGGTTTTAAAGGAATTGGTTTGTGTTTGGTTTTTAATAAGGCCATTTCATTTGAAATTGTGAAACTGACAAGACATTTCTTGCCATTGGGACTAAAAGACTGAATGTAAAAACCATTCAAAATGGAGGCTGTGAACTTTTGACCTGAGGACTCCATTTTGGTCAAAATGCCTGTCAGCAGCAGAGGACGCTGCGCTGGGCTGGCTCTCACCAGCCAGAATTGGTTGCTTCCCACCCGAGCGGAACAGTCCATCACCTCAGAGTTCCATACCACAGAAAGGATTTAAGGACCCGCGCAGCAGCTGCGAGTGTGGTCTTTTCCATCTACTCTCCTGTCAGTACCGGACCACCATACTGGCTGTGACGAGGGATGGGGAAGATATTCCACCAGTGATTAGGGTTGCCAGATGGTTGAAACAAAAATACCGAACACCCGCCCCCCCCCCCAAAAAAAAAACGGGAAAAAAATTCTTTTGAAGGGAACAAAAGGGGGGAGACCAAAGTTGCTGAGCAAAAAAAAAAGGACTCCAAGGACTTCTTAAGCCAAAAAAAAATTAAAATAAAACAGCATTAAAACAGCATGTCCCCTTTAAGAGTGAGTGCAGGGATAGGAACAGAGGAGAAGATGAGCACTAGGACCCCGGGGAAAGCATTGCTTCCCCTAGGTGTTTTAGCCGGAAACCATTTTGTGTCAGCAGTCTTGGGGAACCAGGTGAGCATGGGGGCTGGGGGTGTTGGGAGCCGGGGAAGGGTTTGGGGGGAGGCCGGGCGCTGAGTGTTTGTAGGGTTGCCAGGTGCCCAGCATTTTTGCCTCCTGGCTGGGGAAAAATACAGAAAATACCGGACATTCTAGGTGTCCGGTATTCTCTGAATTTTTTTACCGGACAGGAGCCGAAAGTACTGGACTGTGAATACCGGACACCTGGCAACCCTACCAGTGATCCACCACTGTAAAAACTCCCCACTGGGATCTCCCTGGAGTTCCTCTCTGTGAGCTTCAAACTAGACGGTCCCAGACCTCGGCTACACAGCACCATTGGCACCTCCCAATATAAAAGGAGTTTATCTCATTTGGTTCTTTTCTATCATCTCTTCCTTTCTTCCTGGCCAAAGTGGGTATCTAGGCCGAGGCTTCATGCTTCTCTGATGAAATCCCTGCACTGTTATATAGTTATTGCTGGTTAAGGATACTTACTATGGTTTGTGTTATTGTTTGATTCTGATCTGAATTCCCCATTTTCCCACTTATTGTAATTTTAATCCCTTAATACATTTGTTAACTTACCTAGAGTGTTCTTTATTATTTCCACATCACACTGGGAAGGTGCACTGATGAATTACTCCAGCACGCTGGTGATAGATATGGGAAAAGGGTGCCTGCATCCTCCTTAAACAGGGGCTACCCTGATAGAGGGGTCATCTTTTTCCTCAAGTTGCCTTTGTCCCCTGAGTAACACCACACACAGGTGTTAGGACAAAGCCTTGTTTTCCTATGCTGGGCTCCAAGGCAAGTTGCCTGACTATGATAACAGTCCAGCGGCAACAAGACCTTGAGGGTTTTTTTCTTGAAATTCTCGCTGAGTTTGTTAAAACTGTAACTCCCTCCTGGATTCTCACAGGTTTACAAGAAGCAGTTTTGTCTCTGCTCTGTCTTTCCTTATCTACAGAACCAGTTCACCCCGGCTTTTCTCCCCCCTTACCCTGCCCCCAATATCCTTGTGCAGAGATCCATTCCTTCTTGAACAAAGAACCGATAAAGTAGTTGTAGCTGGTATAATGATATGCATAACGTATATAACTGATAATATAAGACTTGTACTCCTGATCATTCTTTGGAAACTGCTGTTAAGTCCTCCCCAATGCATTGCTAATAAAATTGCTTAGTATTATCTGTGGGTGGCTGAATTTGTGGGAAAAGAATTCTTTTACTTAACACAGGTAATTAGTGTAGCTTGGCTTTTAGTATTTAGCATTTAATCTTTAAAGTACCTCAATGTATACAGTTCAATATCTTTTTATAAACCAAGTGGTGGCCGTTACAAGGGGCAGCCAGAACCAGGAGAATGGAGAGAGATTCTGGATTTCTTGTTTCTTGGTAAAATAGCAATTAAGAGCCGTAATAAAAGAATTAAGGAAAAACAGCAAAGTTAGAAACACTGAGCCTTAAGGTAGCTCTGAGTAACAAGGCTATCATTTTCATAATAATACCTTATGTAAAAATTGATATGGCTAATGTAATGTTATAGAAGTTAAACTCTAAAAGGAATGTGCATTTTCCTATAATACATGCAGGCTGTGTCTAGACTGGCCAGTTTTTCCGGAAAATCAGCCACTTTTCCGGAAAAACTTGCCAGCTGTCTACACTGGCCACTTGAATTTCCGCAAAAGCACTGACGATTTCATGTAAGATTGTCAGTGTTCTTGTGGAAATACTATGCTGCTCCCGTTCGGGCAAAAGTTTTGCGCAAAAGGGCCAGTTTTGTTTTCCGCAAAACAAAAACAAAGCTCAGATTTGTTTTCCGCAAAAAAGCCTCAATCACAAAAATGGCGATCAGGGCTTTTTTGCAGAAAAGCGCGTCTAGATTGGCACGGACGCTTTTCCGCAAAAAATGCTTTTGCGCAAAAGCGTCCGTGGTAATCTAGACACTCTGTTCCGAAAATGCTTTTAACGGAAAACTTTTCCGTTAAAAGTATTTCCGGAAAATCATGCCAGTCTAGACGTAGCCGCAATGTATATTGCAGAAGGGGTAAAAGAAATGCTACTTAACATCTTATCAGGGCTCCAGAAAAGAGCCAAAATGGTTTGTGTTTTCTTTTTCAGAGTACTTAGTGTTGTGGGAGCAAGACTCGAAATTGAAAAGTAAACAGAACGCTAGCAGTAAATTGTGCCCCTTTTTAAGACAAAGTCTAGGAGTTGCTGATAACTTTGAATCCAAAAGCAAGCCAGAAAGTATCTGTGTGAATGCAGATTGCCTGGTGAGTGGGGAAGGGTAAGAACAGCATAAAGAGTTTATGGGTGATTAATATACCTGATCAACTAGCTGGGCTCATATTGTAACCCTTTGGAGGGGAGGGTGGCAGGGGGAGTCAAACCTTAGAATACGCGGGGGCAGGTTAACCCTAAGTAAAAAACAAAAATGTGTATTCAGATGTAAAAGGGGTTTGTTTATATGCACAGTATTCCTGCCTTTTAATTTACCCAAACCCCCAGGATAACTTATGCAGACATTTCATTTAAACTATGCAAGCATTTCAGGAAGGCATTGAATACACTGGTCTCAAAGATAAATTGTCTAATAAAAGCCATGGTAAACACCCACTTAGAAAAGATATGATGCTAATGGTCCTGTTTAACCCTGAGATAAATGTAATGTTCATAAGTAGCCGTGCAACAATGTACAATGTGTATGATTTTCTTTTAGAAAAGGAAAAGTCTTTAAAGCATTCTGGAGTGGTAGTTAGAAACACAGCAGCTGTGTCTAGACTGGCAAGTTTTTCCACAAAATCATCTGCTTTTGCGGAAAAACTTGCCAGCTGTCTACACTGGCCGCTTGAATTTCCGCAAAAG